TAGGGACCTGTTTTGAAGGAACAACTGGCACTGTCATGAAAAAAGGAAAAAATCTTTTTCCCTTTCATATGTACTACAAACTGAAAACTGAACTGCATATTAAGTGTAAAATAACCAGTTACACTCAAAATTGTGTTATGGGCAAAAGTGTACACCTTATTGACATAGTAAAAAATTTATTACTGCTTTTTACCATCTTTTTACTGCCTATACCATTCACCAAGCTGAAGCCCAGGACAGGTCAGAGATTAGTAGTTTGGCCACTGTGAAGCAAGCTACAGCCAGGTCAAGTAAAACCTGAGATTCTGCTTTGCCATGTCAGCACAAAGTCTGTTGCCTTTTACTAGTAACACAAAAATCATATATACTGGACTACAATACATGTAACCATCCCTGTTTCTTTTCAGCATATGTAAAATAAATATGAAATTTGCATAATACAGATACATTTAAGTGATTTAATCAGATGTATAGGGATGAGGCAGAGGTTTGAAAGTGACTGAAGGCATGAAAGGAGCAGCAAGATGAACGATATCTAACATCATTAAAGAAGAAAATGAAATGCATTTTTGGAAAACAATGAGTGATCTACAGAAAGTTATGTATGAACTGCTAATGGTAACATCAAATACTTGTGTTTTTTTTAAAGTAGCAATAATGGAATGAAAGAGAAAATTAAGGCATGACAGACAGTAGGAATGTCTCATAATTAGGCTGAAGATAATTTTGAACTCCTAATGACTGAAGAGGCTTCAGATATATAAAACCATTTTAATAATAAAAGAATATTCTTTTTATTTTAAACATTCCAAGAATGAAGTACGGGGATGACAGTTTAAACCTGTGATTCCAATAAAGATGAAGAAGATTAAGAAACTAAAAGAAGTTAATGAAGAATTTAATATAGCGATTTAATCCAGTGGGCAGGACAGGCGGTTAAATAAATGAAGGACCAGTTAGGTGCCTTTTGGAAGACCAAAGGTTAACATTAGATAAGACCTAAGAGATCTTTCCTCTGATCTGCTAACACTGTGAAAAAATTATCCCTGAAAAAAAATATCTGAAAAAACAGAACAGATGAGAGCAGGGAAGGATCTCTGGGATACAAACAAAACTGCTAAGAAGGAACTGCCTGATGGCAGCTCTCAATTTCTGTGATTTTAAATGCAAAGCAATATCTGCGTCATGATTCCCATGAATTGCCTACTACTGATCTAAATGTTTTCATACATCATGCTATGTAAACCTCTCACAGTCACTGAATTTACACAGAGATTAAACCTTTTGCATTCATGCTTTCTATTTGACCGCCTTAGACTATTGTATCCCTTCACTCACTATATAAAATAGAAAAAGTAGAATTGATTGGCCTAAAAAATGAAGTATAAACCTATTTCTGATTTATCAGATTAGTAGCAGCTCTCAGTCTTCTTAACAGTCAATTGACTGCTTGCTGATTGTTTGGTGTTCTTGCCACTAAACCTTACAGCTGTCTAGAAAATTTTTTACAATCTCCTGTAAACTAATTACCTTACTGACTCTACAAGTAAGTAGCAAACACAGGTTTACCTGTATAGTACACATATATGGGACTAGAAGTGTAGCTCCTTTAACTATACCTTCTATGCATTATTTCATTTTTATTTTTGTGAAGTGTCATCAAAGTATTTAAAACTGCAGCTGCCTTTCTCTCCTTAAACAACATGCTCAAATGAATTAGGCATGAAAGTTCCATCAAGTCAACAGGACAATCTTTTTCACATACTGTCTGATCCCTCCCAGGCATCACAAAGCCCTTAGTAAAGTAGTTTGATAAGGAGGTTTGCAGTGCCTAGCTACCAGTGAAAAAGGTTTAACCATATGGTTTATTTAACCATAATTGATACATTGGAAGGCTAGGCTCCCCTATTTATCTGAATGCCACTCAGGCTAAGTTAGAGCTTCATGAGTCAGTGCATGCAGCTTTAAGGTGCTTAAGGAATATTATGACACTAAAAATCTGACAAACCACAACTCTGTTCTACACCAGTATCTTTAGTGCAGAGATGCGCAGGAACGAATTCTGCCATCTGCACATTGGCATGCAGTTCTCTCATGTAATTCCTGCCAGTCAGTTCTACTACTATTTCTATAGCCAACATTGGACTATGCTCCAGAATGAACAGCTGATGTCCCCATGTCAACACCAAAAGCTGACATTAAAAGCTGCTAATGAGAGTAAGTTAGTAAATTATGAGAGGTTTATAGAATAAAAGGACTAAGAGACTTTAATTTCCTCCAGGGAAAATACGCTACTACAAGTGATGGACGTAAGGACAGCGAAGCTATGAAATACAAGTCACACCTGCATCCAGGCTGTGGTTCTAGTCAGCCTAATTCTTTGTAATAACCAGGAGGCGTACCTGCCAGTGGACAGAAGTCTAATTATTCATTCCTTACACATGCAGTTACATAGAAGGCTGCACACTTGACTATAGAAAATTCTGCTTTGCCAGTTGTAAGTAAAAAGAAACAGTGGAAAAGTGTAGATCGTGTATCTATAGGACCACAACAGTCAGAAATCTTTGTGCCAAAGGCAGACCACTTTGACTTCTACATAAACCCAGCAGGTTTATATGCTGACATCTGCTAATTCCCAGCACAAGAAGAGAACAAGAAGGTTGCTGTGATATTTGTCATACAACAGCAGCATTCCTTCTGCAGCCTTCCCTGGCAGATGCCATATTTTGCTTTCTTATGTTCACACACAATTCATTTCACAGGCACGAAAATGCCTGTTGCAAAAAAAGTATCAACTAAGTATGAAAATAAATCAAAGCTTTCCCAGGATAGCTATGCAAATATAAAAAGTCCATACAATGAAAATTAACCAATAATTGCATTTTTATTATGGTACAAATTATAATAACAAAGGAAAAAAGTAACTGTGATATTCAAACTGTAGTATGTCAATATTGGATTGTATAGAGATTAAGAACAGCATGATGGCTATAAAAATGAATGGCTGTATGTGATTCTTGGGCTGTTATGTACACTGATCATACAGACTGAAAAGATTTACTCTGAAGAATATTAAACTCAGAACATTTCAGAAGAACGTTGTAATATGAATACTCTGATTTTACATCGCGGTAGCTGGGGAATTTTTGTTGTGGTGGGTGAAGGTCTGGAGAAAGCAGAAGAGCAAGTTAAAAGTTTTCACATGCGTTTACTTACCAGAATGAAAATGTAATGGAATCTGAAAATGGTTTCATATGAACATATACACTGGGAAAAATCAGTGGGAAATTGGTGAAATTTTTATTTCTCATACTACTTGGCTAATGAGCCCTAAAACCTTTGTATGACCAAGAAGGTATAAGGAAGCTCATGAAGAAGTAGCATGGGTAGCCACTTCTCTCTGTAAACTGGGATTTGTAGTAGGCACAGCTAAGGAAGAAAGAATGAGGGTGATAATTCCATGTGTTTCTTATTTATGATGCACTAGCACCATTAACTAGCACCTTAACCAAACATTCTTGTTTAAGGCCCTGCTGTATTACAAAAAAACCCATCACTTAATTCTTTCATGATTGTATTTATATAACAAAGGCAACAAAATTCTAATTTGTAATCTATGGCATTGATTTTTTTTTGTGCTGAAAAAAATTGTAAGGATTAAAGCAGATATGTATTTTTCATAAAAAACATTTTCATTTTACAAAACAGGTAAATTCTGATTTTTACTTGTTATTATTCATATTTTACTCAGTTCTATCTTTAAAATAATTAATTTCATTTCATGCCCAGCTCTATTTCATTAATGGGGTGAAAAGAAAAAAACTCACAAAGATGTCCACTTGCCTACTTAATGTATGTTTTCTCATTAAAAAAGGCACTTTCTTCTTTTTCTTACATTTCCTCAAGTCCCTGTTTATATGACTATGTAGACAATATATTTTCAAGTAGAAATCAAATAGAAGAGTAGACATAAGAAGCAGTCATTCATTCAGAGCTATATCAGTATATCAATCCTGTTAATGAAGACTGAAATACCTCCATCATGAAATTAAGAAAAAATAGTAACCACAGGTCATTTCAGGTAAAAAAGTCCTCCTTTTTTGCCTAAGAAACTCGGTTGCCATATATGCTATTTGAAACAATCGCTGTTTTTTGTGGGGTTTTGTTTTGGTTGTTTTTTTTTATTTTTTTTTTTTTTTATGTGGACCTAGATCAATTTGCAAGCAACCCTGCATTTTCCAACCCATGATTAGGTCATGATTTTGCTGAGACAAAGTGTTAATTGACATGATGTAGCTAATGTTTTGTTAACTACAGCTGATCCAGAAATGCCTATAAAGAATCTAGACTGAAAGTATAATTTATCAAAATGGAAGTATCACGTAATTTTAAAAGGCTGATCAACTGACACCAACACACCACACCCTCTTTCTTCCAGAAACAAATGTGATCTTGTACCTTTTATCCAGTATTTTTCCAAAACATCTTTAGTCATGTACTGAAAGCTCTGGTACTTCTGCAGCATGGCCCTAGAGCATACTTAGAGAATGTCATGGTATTTTCTGTGTCAGCCTTGTGGTTAAAACAAATGGATTTTTTTTTCATGAGAGCTTCGCAATTACTAGGAAGTAGTAGCAGCAGCCTAATTATTAGGCTACTCTCAACAAGGGTCTACTCTTCCCTTTTGAAACCAAATATTTTTGCAGAGAAGAACGCAGGACAGATGGAAGAAAGAAAAGAAGAAGCAATGCTGCCTCATAGATAAGGGGTGATACATTTTCTAGGTTTCATGACAGAATAAGAATATTTGTGTCTTCTTTTTTAATCTAACAACTGTTCCAATATTCTTCTACCTCTTACTCAATGAAACATACAGTAAAGTATTTAATATAGTTGCAATTTGATTTTCAGGTTTTGTAAAACAATTGTTCTAATTTTTAGGTCCATGATGCTTTTAAACACCACCAACAAGATGGTACCAATTAAAAAAAACCACTTACCTGATGAGATGTCTATTCGGTTCTTCTTCACTAGGGTGACATTGATATGGACGCTGACTTTGCCCTCATTTATGTCAATCTCAACATTGCCCAGGTCATCTGCAAAGTTGCTGAAGACAAGAAGTCCATTGGGATTCCACGTTCGGAAAAGGAAACTGACTGAAAACAGATCCTGGCTTGGACGACCAGGAACCTCAAGGTAACTGGTGGCATTGAAAAAGACAGGCACTGTATGTGGCTCCACACAAGAAAAACTTAAATTTCCCTAAGTAAAACACAAAAAAAAAGCAAGAACGTAAGCAAAATGGTAAGATTCCACTAAATTCATAGCTACCCCAAGAAAAGCATTCTAGGTTTCATTCAACCTAGAGACTACTGTGATCAATGCAAGTTGCATGTAAAAATATGTTATTAATATTATCATTTTTGTTACTATTACGTTGCTGATGTTTCTGTTTTGCCGAGCAGTGGCCCCATTATATTTTGTACTGTACATATACACAATAAGAGGCAGTCTTTTCCCTGAACAGTTATAATCTAACTAAGATAAAGCTGAGATGAAAGTATTACTATTTCCAGTTGGAAGATGAAGAAATGAATCACAGAGAATACTGGGGTTGTTCGTGGTCACCAAAGAAGCCTATAACAGAGCAGTAATTCATCCTTTTATAAAAATGAAATACGACTTTCCAAATACCCTTAAATCAATGTGTCAATCAATAAAATACATGAGGTTGTGAAAGAAGGATGTATAATACCTTGTGAAGAGCTAGCCTCTTTGCTATGTTTTCTGCTGGATAGTACTAGATTAGCTAATACTTCATTTCACAAAACAAGGATTTGGACTAGCTGATCATGAACAATGCCTAGTATTTTTTTGTCAGGAATTTTCTCTGTAAAAGAAATTGCTGTTTCACACTGTAAAATTTTACTATTTGAGAAGTTGGCAAAAATCCAGTCAACTTTATTGATTTCCAAAGATTTTAAATGTATTTGTAAGCAAGACTAGAACTAGGGACATGAATTTTTCACTCTGGTTCTCAAGTTGTTTCTCATGAAAGACGACAATGGTAGAATGTATAACCATTTTATTCCTTAGAAATCCTAAATAATTTGTGGCAATCTCTGTCCAGAATTAACTTTTTAATGCATAAATGCAAATATAACAGGAAAACTTGCTCTGTTGAAGAATTCCTCTAACGTGGCAAAGTGCATCCTGTTCTATGGTTTTCTGATGCACTGTGGCAGATAGACACACTGTGGCATTTTCACTTCAATTTGGGAAGGAAGAATTTTATCAGATGCAGTACAGAAATTATTACTATTATCAAGATAGCAACTCCTTTGATATTTATTTGTATATTAAAAAATATTAAGAATTGAACAACATTTTTGGTGGTACCTAGATATTTAGAGCTGAAGTTCACCTAAGCCCTGTTCAGAATCCCAATAGGGGTCAGTCATCATCTTTATCATATAAATATGTGTAAACAACATGTTACTGGCTTCCTGATATAAGCTTTTATGTCACATATTCTTGTGTTCATAGTGTATAAATGCATCTGAAAGTTCATCTTGACGGAAGTTAGAGGATTTGGAAGCAAGATAGGAACTTTCGTCTGAAAAGGTGTGGGAGGAAAGTCCTAAGTAAATTTTTTTTACAAGTAGTTATTTTCAATTGGACATGGGCCAGATGATGTCAATAAGGAATCAAGATTTAGTATTCATTTACCAGTGTCCAAATCCACTACTTTTAAAAAGAACGACACATCAGAAAACACCTTATCTTTGTCATAGTAAGATACCACCTGTGTGGCAGATTCAGTTTCATATATGTCAAAATTAAAGAATAAAAATAATAGTTTCTTGAGCTCTCAGATACATTCTTTGGTTACTGTACATAACCACCTCTTTTTCCTACAGAGTGTCAGAAGTCATATTGCCATGCTGCCACACAATAAAGGCCAGTAGAACTAGTAGCAACTAGACTATCAGTTTGGCAGCCTCCATCACCAATTAAGAAACACTGATGCTTCCAATATCCTGGAACTCATGAAGAGATTTCTTTATGCTGATCTCAAAGATTTGTTTCTATCTTTACGATAAAATGTCAGCATTACAAACCATGTTCTTTTCATACACCCACGTTCCATGGATAACAAAAAATATCCAAGGATTTAGGAAAATAATTAGGAACGATAGGAAGTTTTAAAATTACAGTGCGAATGAGAGAAATTACAGCTACTTTATGAGTAACGGCAAAGGACCTCCCTTTATCCCCTTTGATGCTAAACTGCTTGGCTATTTTGGTTTGGTTTTTTTGTCTAAAAGTTGCCTAGAAATTTTAATTTTAAATTTTCAGCCAACTAAGCATTAAATCAAAATAGTTAGGTCATTTGTTTGAACAGTTTTAGTCTGAAAATTTCCAAGCGTGCTACAGAGTACTTTTGGTTAAACCACAAATTTTACATACAGAAAAAGAAAAGCTGGAGAGTGGATGAAATACCCTTTGTAACCCTTTTATAACATTCTCATTGTAATAGCCACCCTATGGATTAGAAACAACTTCTGTTACATAGTTAAGGCAGTCCTGTGTAGACACAGAGGGCAACCACATTTTGTAAGAGCTTACATCTCATGGTTCAGTCACAGATGCCAATTAAGTAGTGCTCAGAAAGCATTTTGTTAGACATTTTTAGGAGTTTCTCTTGCTGCCTTGTTACTGGGAGGAACTAACAATTTCTTCATAACAGGAAGGCTTTCATATCCAATTGTCACTCTCCTGTCATCCTGATGCATGGCATACTTGCATGTATAACACCTATTAATGTTAACTGAATGCATTCAAATCCTTTTTCACATCAGTGAATGCATTTATCATGAACACCCTAACTTCATAAAAGATTTCTTGAGGAAGTAACACATAATTCTGATTTCTCTGCTAGCTAGTATTTTCCCTACTGAGCTATTCAGATTAATCTAAACTGGATTGTCAATTCCTTCTATGACTGTAATTCACAAGACGACTCCTTTTTTAAGGAAAGCCCATCTGATATAGATTGCTCACTAGGTCTCCATCAAGAGTTCGAGCTAATCGGCAGCTTGTCTCTATAATAGCATCCCGGTTTTTTGAAGAGATCCTTTTCTGTAGATTGAGAGGGACAAGCTGAATAGTTCTCTGGGCAATGGCATCTGGAAGTCAAACATATACTGTTCATTTATACTGAAACTGTTGGTCTTGGAAGGGAAGGGAAATGGTGAAAACATCTTAATTTGGGTAGCCTGAGCTTTGCGTTGCTTTGATCTGTGTTGCAAATTAGCTTCGTGTTTACTTCTTATAAATCAATTTTGTCCACCCAAATTCAGATGTTATCTCTTATGGAAATACTATTGGGTCTTAAAACCTTTGCCAGCTACTGGCTGCATATGTAGCTCCCAAAAGAGAAGTAATGAGTTTATTAAGACTACAATACCTGTTAAATCAGCATGGATTATACAATACAAGCAATGTACTGTATGCTAATATTTATTATGTTATTTCAGTATTTTTCTCAAAATAGCTTATTACTCATCTTTAAGCTTAACATAATGTTTGCTAAATGTAAATAATTTACAGAAAACACTCAGCTTAAGTTTGCATATGATTGCACACATTAATAGGAGTTGCAGAAGTGGGTGGAGCATAGATCTAGTGGATGTAAAGATGGAGGGTAGCAAATACGATTCTCCTCAGTATTTTTTGTTTACAGGCTTTAAAATTGGAGATACTGTTCTGTGGAAATGGAATCCAATTTCACACTGCCTGCCCTTAATATACCTCTGGGTAGGAAAATTTGATGAAGTGACTAAATTCCTAAACTCAAGTTTCTCTGGGCTTCTTGTTAGCTGCATATTCTAGTCTCTTCTCACTGATGGTACAAGGGTCAATACTCCTCGGTTACGCAAGGTAATGAAAGTCCTACAAAGCTTGTTATACTTTAGTAGAAAACATAGAAAAGATGTACTGGAAGATTGTTTACAAGTGTGTTCCCTGTTTCTGTCTTACTCCTGAGCCAAGCTGTATACAAGAGTTAGCACCTACTGTGCTAGTTAGTCACTTCCAACTCTCTTTTGCAACTTGTTTCAGAAAAGCAAACACTTTTGTTCTCTGTCTCGGCTGTCCTTTTCTCCCCGACTCTCCTTCTTGGGCATCTTTATCATTTGCTTCATTTATCTTCCATGAAAACAAATCAGGCTCCTCTAATAAGAGCAATGATAACTGCTCAAGACCATCCGTCTGACTCATCCTCTCCAAAGAGCTGTTCCCATCTTTTGTATCACAAAGGACTGCCAGACTTTTTTCGCCCTTATTCTTGCCCTCTAAATCTAAAATAAGTCCATTATTAAAGTCAGTGTTGGATTTTATTTAAATTTAAAATACTTTTAAATTGTCTTTACATCCTTACTCTTCAATAAATTAAAGAGATGTTTGGTGGTGCTTTTTTGCTCATACCATCTATATATATGAGACCTAATTTTTTTTTTTTTTAAATTTAATTTTGTTCAGACACAGATCAAGATTATCATCTTATTAACACCTTTGATGATCTGGGCCTCCTCATTCTGTAAAATGTATTGTGAACTCCCTTTCACTATGTGACTTCTGAAATTCGACTATCGGCATCTAAGAATATTTTTTTTTCTGTCTCACACCTCTTTTATATCCTTCTTACCTCTCTTCCCCCTCCCACCCCCCCATGATACTTCTCATCACCATACTGATCACTTTGCTTCATTGCATTTTGTCTGCATTGCCTTTTTCACTGTTTAGGGCAGGGTGTGCCTACTGTTATGGGTTTGTACAGGATCTTCTACAATGGAGCTTTGATCCTTGTTGGATTGTTAAAATGCCATCATCATAAACATGATTAACAGCAACAGTAGTCTCAACCAAGTCTATTTTTCATGCTAAATCAGGCTAAAAACTAGGAGGAAAAATGCTTTTGTAAGAAACATAAAAATCCATGTTGATTTAGTTAGAGTAAAATTGATTTTGCTTTTGAAGAACTGAAGCAATTTAAGTAATTCTACTGAAAACAAAGGTCACTTCTATTTTTATAGCCATTCTTAGAATTGGAAATCAACAGAACCATCAAATTAAACTAGCATGCCATAGCCTCTTGATGTAGCACTAACACTGCCAAAGCTTCTTATATGGATTTTACTTTCATGTTACAGGTAACAGAATTTTAAAAACAAAGAAAGAAAGAAACAAACAAAAAACAGAGAGGTGATTTTACAGAGACTTTACAGGCCTGCAAGCTATGCCACACTTTTGAAAGGACAGGATTTGCACTACAGAAACCTCTTAACACTTCTGTTGAGAAAGAGGCTTTAAGAATACGTCCCGCTAATTTGCAGTGGACTTGACTGTGCAAAATGGAAAGACTGCTCCTGCACAAAGATCCTTTTCTAAATCAGGCATCAGTCTTTTAAAATCATTGTTACATTACAAGCTCAAAATGCACTGCAGGCAGGAAATCACAGGCAATTTTGGGAAGAAAAAAAAAAAAAAAGTCAAAGATTAAGGAGTTCATGCAACTGGGTTGAAGAAATTCCTGAAGTGGAGTCTTCCTCCATGGCATATATATTATGCTCTTTGCCTTTGACAGTACTGAAGAAATTCATGTATAGAAAAGTTTCTAAATATCCAGCTTTATTACTGAGTTTGTATAGGCAAATATTATGTATTCAAAATTATCCTTCATATTACCTTGATGATTTAGCCATATTGTTCATACAATTATATGGAACTTCAGTATTACTATCCAAGGAATAATCAAATGGTAATCAATCCTTTGCACTTCATAATCACTGCATATATAAATCTTTACTCTTTATTACATACAGGGAAAAACAATAGTGGAGCCATTAGCAGGACTTTGTGAATGCTGTAAACTTGTACAGAAGAAAGCCTTGAACAACTTATTCAGACCCTCTCAAACTCATGGCAATAATACATTTATTTCTTACCCACATTGCCTTTGTATGCCAGCAAGCAATTTTAGGAACATTTAAAGCTTTAAAAATACAGTAGTTAAAGTACATTCTTTCTTAATCACCCTGCCCATAAAGCCACAAGTTTGCATGTGAAAGCAGCTATGAATGTTTAAGCAAGAGAAAAAAATAGAATAAAATGTTAATAAGCTCTGTAATGTTAATAAGCTAAATAATGATTTTCAAGTCTAATATCTTGAGGCTTTTCAGAGCTATCAGAAAGGCCTGTAGGAGCATTCCCTTTCAATGACTTTTGCACTCCAGGAATCCATCTAGCTCTGCAGGGATGGAAGATACCAGAATTTAAAGCCAGGAGAAAGCTGCAATTTATTTAATAATAAATCTTGTCTGCACTGGTTTGGACTACTGTAATTTGGGAGGACGGGAAAGAAGTGCTTATTGGTTCAGATGATTTTCTTTTAAAAAGTAGCTATCTGACACTGAAGGTTAATCTTGGAAAGATGAGACAGGACCCCAGAAGCAAAATGCTCAGCTATAATAACAAAAAAAAGTCACAAACATACATACAATAAGATCTTTGGGTATGTGACAAAATTTGTTTTGTGTTCTATATCACTCCAGTATATCAAAAGGATATCAGCTACACACATTCACAAGCCTTGGAGTCTGCTTTAGAAGGGGAAGCAGAAGTTTAGATGACCATTAAATTGTAGTCTTACCACATTAGAAGGTTCCAATTTCTTTCTCTTGGCAAGGTCAGTGATATTATTGCCATTGTAGTTGATGCTCTCCATGCAGCCTTTGAAATTTTTCCTACTGTTAGAACTTGGCTTTCCAGAAAAAGGCATGCCTCCAAAGGTGATCTTTGAATGACACAGAAAATGGTGGATAGTTACTAGAGGGGAAAGATTTTTAAACACATTTGCTGTAGATGTATTTGCTTTCTCTGAACACCCAAACATGGCGAATGAGAGAGCTGGCAACACTGCTTACAGAAAAAGGAAGTATCAATAAGCACTGCAAAAGCAGAATAAAGATCTTTAATGAATTTGTGATTATAAATATTTATGGTAGTAAATCCCAAGTATTATTACAACTGTCCAAATAGTGAGCACAGACACATCGCAGTTGTTTATATAAGGACTGGACTTCTGATTGCTGCTGAACAATACATGTTTCAAACAAAGAACTTGGAATAAATGTCCATCCCAGTATTTTTCTAAACAAGAGTAGATATGAAGTCATCATTCACTCAGCTCTAACTGTGTGCCAGAACTCAGACTACAACACAGCAGCTGTGGGCTCCAATATGATGCATTTGTTTCCTTTAATGCTTATGTATCTATCCAGAAGAATTTTACAGGATCACACAGTTAAAGATTCTATCCCTGTTGGATGCACCTTCCACTACTAAGAACATGCTTTTATCATGTAGTTATAGTCAATGAGGAGTTACCACATGACTTAGCAGGCCAAATCACCTCCATAGAGAAGATGAAGACAACCACCACAAAGACTCAGCCATGAAGGTCAAACAGGAATTGCTTTTCTTTTAATGCTGAATTTCACTACCCTAAAACATTGGGTTATCCAGAACCTCTAGTACTAAAAAATGAAGAAACCCAAATATTTTACAAACTAAAAGTGTTCACCTCCTATGAAGTCTCTTCCTGTCATTCCATAGAGACTACACAGGTCTCTACTGCATCAGGGTCTTTTCTGAAATGTTTAGAAGTGAATAAATGCTACATGTTTTCATCAATATTTTGCAGCCCCAATGTGAAGAATAAGGGACTCATGAGCTAAGTCCCTGCAATCTATGTTAAGTATTTATATCCAATAGGTGATGGCATAAATAGTAATGACACCTAGCTGCCCTGGCCCACGAGCGCTCACAAAAATGTCTACTTGTACTCTGCTACTGAGATTTGGCAGAGACAAGCTTTTAAATATCATTCATTGTTAATTCCATTTGTTAATACTGAGAGCAGGAAAATGCAGCTCTAGGGACACATTTTCCATTTTAAAAGCGTGTCAGATATAACTTTCTATCCCAGAGAGGAGGCTTTGACTTGGCATCTAAGAAGAACTAAAGCTATACAGCTGAAAACCAAAGTCTTTAGAAATAGCACATACCAGCTATGTAAAAGCATTTTGCAGGACACAGCCTCAGGTATTATGAATTGACATGACTTGACTTTAGAGAAGATACACCACTTTACATGAACTGAAGAATGTGACTGTAATATTTTACTGGCTGTCAGACATTCTTTTGCATGTTATAGTCATGCGTTTGGACATGAGAAAATGGAAAGGAAAGGAGAAAAATTGCAAAAACCTCATACTATGACAGTGAGTTAAGAGGGACTCATAGGATTATTTTTTTTACCTTGAAAATGCAGTCAGAACTGATGTTTATTCCTCTTTTGTGCTTACTTAACTTTTCTGAAAGAGATTAACCTAGAAACTATTTTTTCTATGAAAAATAATTTTCATTCTTTCAGGTTGATCCACTGTGATTAATTTATCACAAGGGCAACACATTTAAATTTAGTCTGTGATGGCTAACTCCAAAAAAAAAGTGAGATAATTTAGAGGAAAGGAAGGACAAGAGGCTGAGGCTCTTGCATTTATATGAACCACAGAAACATGTATCCACATACACTCAAATAGATTCCATTAAACACAGGGGAATCCATGTCCATGGAAACTGAAAAGTATCTTTGAGAACTGCCAGTGAGGTCGCTAATGTCAGAGAAGAGAGGAAGGTGAATCTCCTGGATTCTGCTATTACTAGAGGTAAATTCGTTGTATGCAATACATTTATTATGTAAAACATGCTACACATATATACGTTTTTATATATATGTGCAAATTTCCCAACCCTGACTTATGACATTCAGCCTAACTTCTTCTGTAGTTCACTCACTTGACAGTCTTTAATAAAATCTATTTATGTGGGTTTTTAGTAGCTCAATTCAGAGCTTCAGTGCTCAATGAGTAACAGAGGTACAGACATATTTGCTCATTATTTTCTCATTATAACTGCTACCAAAGAAGATATTTATAAAGATTTTTGGAATATAAGTAAATATTTGATTCAGTAACATTTACAATCATAGGTAATTTTTTCAAACATTCATATCATATTCTTGATCAAAAGATTGTTTATAACAATATCAATACACAAGTTAATTCAAACTTTTCTGCATTACATCATTTTGATTCCCTCTCACTGCTTAAAAAGTTGCAAGGATGGAAATACATGTATTTAGCTCAGCCAGCCCATTAATTCTCATTAGAAACAGTAAAGAGTGCAAGAAAATCATTATAGAAAGTTTGTAATAACCAATGTGCTGAACTTTATGTAACAATTTAGAGGAACTGAACAAGTCCATAATAGCAGAAACAAGAGTGTAATCAAACAACAAATCCATGTTTAATTACTACCAACACTTGTGTGCATTAACCTGGCTGATTAAACAAAAGTTTTTTAGAACTTTCCTAACTCTTTATTGCTTCTTTATAAAAAGAAGTTATTGATGGCATATTTGTGAAAATACAAGGAAGTACATGCCTGCCTAAGACAAGAAAGATCAAGATCCATGCTGGTAAAAGGGTTCTACTCTTCTTGCTTTGCTAAAAATAAATACTAATTGTCACCACAGAATGAGGCTTTCTGATTCAAGTGCAAAAGTATCCCTTGAATAGAATAACAGATTGTATTATTTTTTTTAATCTACTTCCCGCTTACAGCAGCTGCTTTTAGAGATTTTAAAAGTAGTGTATGCTTAGCTTGCTGAATAACATAGATCTCCCATTTTAAAACAAAAGGCTAAAGTGACTCTTACACCAGATGGGATCTGGTAGACTAATGAAGAGAAACTTAATTTACACTTAAGAGAGTGTTTGGAAGAAAATTTCAGAGAATATAAGGGAAAAAAATAATTAAAACAATGTACAAAAATGTACAAACTCAAATTATATTATTTGTCTTTTCTCTTCTTAATGGACTTTTTTTTATAAAGCCAATTTGAATGAAAACAAAGAAGTTTCACCGTCTACCTCATAATCCAGGTCCAGGTAATCAAATTCTCCATTGGTTCTGAAGTGCTGCATGTGTCTGTCCAGGGTGAGATTGATGTTTCTCCCGTGGCGCTCTATGATGATGGAGTGCCAGTGGTGATCATCCAAGAGGCTGCCTGTCATCACGGATGTGTGGCCATAAATAGAGCCAAGCTGGTTGCTGCCTAAGATGGGAATAGAAACAATAGCAATTCTCACCTCATACCAGTTAGGCAAACATTTTCCTTTTGCTCTGTCAATATTTCACCTGAATCACACCAGACACACAATAAGCTGAAAGAAGTCAGTCTGCTATGAAGCTAAGGTCTGCCCAGTGGAGAGTTGCTCCCATAAATACAAATAGCTAGACCAAATACACCAAGTATCTGATCAGTGAACTGTATAAATAGTTATTCATAATTGTAGTTATTTGGAGGTGAACCAGAGAAGCAATATCAAGTTTCAGTTGTAAAGTCGCTTTCAAGTAGGGGTTTTCTGTGTTTTCATCTCTACACTACAGAAATGAAAAGCTGTCACCTTTGGGGCAGGTCTTGAGCTTCCCTGGAACTGTACTGATTTATGACTGTTGAGGAAGACGTGGTGCCTGATAACAGACTTTGGTAACAAAAAGCCCTTTCAGTCTGAGTTCTACACTTAGGAGGCTCTGCCAGTACAACTATACCAACGAGCATATAGTAAAAGACTCAATGCAGACTGAGCTAACAGCAGCAAAAATGTCTTCTACTAACAGAGCTTGTTTTGGTCTTTCCTCCTGCAGCAACCTTCCTATTCTGGAAGTCAAACGACTGGCAGGAGTACAGTTTTTCAGTTCTCTGCTGTGTTTTCCAGGGACTTTTGCCAGTGCAACTATGCTAGTCAGAGATCACATCTTATTGCAATCTGACTGACACAGCTAAGCCAGCAAAGTTTGACAGCATGGATCTCAACTGAAGCAGCAAATGACTAATTTAGCAGTAAGTTTAAAAAATTGCTGCACTGTTCAATAACTCAGTGCAATCTTCCATGTTCTGAATACATGAGGACCTAAAGCATTTCTGGAGAATTTCTTACCATCAAGCATGCCTGCAACTTAGACCTTAAGGTCTGTGCATGTTGATAACTCGTTCTGGCAAATCACACTTCTATGGCTTAAGACATTGCTACCCTACAAATGAACATACTGCCACTGATCCTTCAACAGCCGTTGGTTAAAAAAAAATATATATATAAAAATTCCATGCATGTCCATGAGCCTCAGTTTCTTCAATGTAAAGTCAAATCCAGCACAAAGCGAAACCTAAATCCACCCCCGTCTCCCCATCCTCCCTCCCCCACGATGTTTGAAACTAAGTCACTGGATTTCACCAGGCAAAATGAACATCCCTTTCCACTGACTGGTACAATACTCTCAGGGAGAGGACGAATAACACCATAAAACATTACTTCTGTTTATTAAGTGAGCGTGTGTCACAGGACCTATTCCCATTTGTCTGCCTAGTGGTTTAAGAACATCCCCACCAAGCACATATATGGAAGTTATAATAGATTATAAAGACAGACTGAATTGAAGAATATGAAGAAACTGGAAATGAGGGGGTTAGTACTGCAATTAAAATTGTTAAAAATAGATAACTGCTATAGGAAAACGTGCTTTCCTCCTCCTCATCTGTACATGTTGCTCTTTAGAAAAAGAGCAGGAGAAAATGCTAGTGGAAATAATTACTATTCAATGTAAATAATGAACAGAATAATTTACTCTTCACGTGTCTGTAAGAGAACTAAGGAAAGTTACGTGAAATCTTTTCAAAAGCTCTTTGTTTGAAGGGAAAAAAGATAATACCTGAAGCCAGATAAATGTGGGTTTCTTTCATAATAAATGTACTTTATAAATTCAGTCACTCATGAGTCTTTCACTGGGAAGGAAAAAGGAGTCTGGAACTAGAGTAACATATACAGGATTCCATCATCAGATTGCCTGATAAACTGATACGTCGTCTTTCCTTTCCTACTCCTACTTCTCAGATTCTAGGAAGGCTGCTGAACTTCAGCTTCCCGTGGCCCGTAACCTCCCAGATTGATACCTTTTTTTGCTGCAAGGTTCCTAAGGGTGACCTTTATTGCTCTAGCACTGATGACAGTGTCCTTCTCTCACACAACACCACAGCTGAGGCCAAATAAAATCCTGTTTTCCTGTATGATCTTATGTTTATGGTGTCTCACACAGAGTAAAAAGGAAGGAGTGGAACAGAAAAAAAAAAAAAACATACAGAAAGGGAATGAATATCATTTCACCAATTATTTGATAAATGATGTGGTTTACCATATTATGGGAGAAAAAAGGATGTAATATTTGACCTCAAATTTTTGTGGTAGTTAAAAAGTACACAAAACTAAATCACAGCATACCTAAATTTAAATTTAGAACAAGTTTGGCTTTCTTCAGTTCCAAGGTGATATAGTCTCCTTGCTGTCCTTCTCCATGGAAGATTACACCTTCGCTTTCAGAAGTCTTAAATTTCAGAGAGATGACATCTTTCAGTGTTTTCATTTTCTTGTTCCTGAATCTGTATGGTAACACTACATGGCCATCAAAATTGATAACATCAGCCCCTAAAGGAAAAAGCAAATAACATTGTTGATGAGTGATTATATATTCCTGTGGCCACCAGAAAAACAAGACATGCCTTATGTAGATTGTACCTGAACAGAATAAAAAATGTGCAACTGTGATATGCATTGTAAATACATTTTGTCTTCACCCTAATTTAACAATATAAAAAATATGAACCAGGCAGGACATAAATTTAATCCATAGGATATAAAAAAGGCAGATTTTTGGGGACAAATACTACAACTGTACTCAACATCTCTTGGTTTCTTTCAAATACAGTTGGTCCCATGCACACTTTTCTAATTACAGTTGAAAAGGAAAGATAGACTTCCGAGTGGTCATTAATAATTCATTTGATACCTGTTTAAAATCCAGTATAGGTATCTGTGAGGACTGTAAACAGTAAAACATGAGCCCAATGAAATTGCCTAACAATTTTAAAAGATTCCTCAAAGTGTATGTAAACCATAGGCATAAGCCTTGTCTAGTTCAGTTTTATATGGAAATCCTGGGTAAGTTGTGACCTCAGCTAATTTTGAGGAGAAAAAAAAAGAGTTATGTCATTTGGGGTGATTTTTGTTCCTGGTTTTATTCAAAATCTGGGAAGAAAATTGTGGGGTGCAACTGTTGTCATTTAAAGTCAATCCAATACTCATACAAATGTTGCATAATGACACAACAAAATATCATGTTGTCTTGTTCTCATAATTTAATCTCTACTCCAAAGAATGAGCCACAATTTTCCACAGGTGAGAAACACAGTGAAAATAGCTGATTCCATTCAACAGATGTACTCCTACTGAGTGTTTAATCTTGTCTTTTAAGCAGAGCTCGGTAAAAGATTGTAAATAGATAATGATCTCTAAAAATGGATATAGATTTATTTAAGAAATCTCCTTTGTAAACTGCTTAACCTGTGATCAATCACCAGTGCCTTAGCTACTATTTGCACGATCATTTCATCCTCACTATTCACAAATGACAACTTAAATAGTCACTAAGCAAAATTCTTAAAAAAGCGTTAATAAAATAATATTCATTTTTTAAAAGAAAAAAGTGTTTCCCACCCACATTCCTCAAAAACATTCACATCTCTTATTGACATACCATATTCATACCAGTTGTTTCACACTCTGAATGAAATGAAGGATGGCATTTTATCATATATTCTTCAGTCACATCTGATTATCGCCTACTTCTGTGGGCTACTCTTCGGTGACTGCTTGCAACTTTTTAGTCTTCCTAATTTGGTTTTGCTATTATAGTGGAAAGTAATTTAAATCTTTCAGACCCCCTCAAAAACACAGAAGCAAACCTACTCCTCTTGTGTAATTAACACAGCAGAATCTTTTAAAACACCTTAAAAACACTTTGTACACTATGCCTAAATGACTGCATATATTTCAATTTGAATTTATGTGGGTGACATTAGCTGATTATGCTAAAACCTGTTGCCTTTCTTCTTACATGTCAAACACACATTTAAAAAATGCTTACTTTCAACTAATCTCTGAAACTTATTTTACGCCCTGAGAAGAGCCTAAACAAATGTATGCATCCATCCCTGTGTCGAGAATTTAGGAACCACCAAAATGGTCTGCTGAGTCAATTTTTACCAGTTATGTCATCAATTGCTATCAAAGAAATGCTTATGTATAGCACCTGCTATGCCTAAGCCTATATACATATATAGCTTATGCATATGCTTATATACAGCTTTTTCATATTCTATAATTTCCAGAAATACTTTTCACAGTGATATGACAGCTATTTGAGTGTCAAAGAAGAGCATTCAATCAAGCTTCATGACGTTTAGCATTTATTTTCTAGAGAAAAGTATGTAAAACCACAACCACGATTTCATGAATGATTTCTATTTCTTTGTTCAGTCAAAAAATCCACAATCCATCTTGTATTCATTAACTAAAACACACCCAATTGAGAGTGAGGCTTGCAGTCATGTTGATTAAATGCCTATTTATACTTCCTTATATCATTGACCATAGCAAGTTTTCAAATATAAAGACCAACATATTATGCTTCCATCCTTCAGGATTTTCCCCACAAATCACTAGTATAATAAATAGTTCTTTCCTACTTCCAGGTTGTTTGTTTTGCTGACACAATGATTCTCTTCATGGTGATGAAATATGTGATATGTGTTTCTGGTTGATATAACCATTTGTCCTCTGTACATCTATAATAAATCTGTATGTATAATCACAATATGGTTTTTATCCTCAGTTTACGCCAACTGTTTACTCTCTAGGGATTATTACAAATTGCAGTAGTTAAGAACTTTGCTATCTTGCAGAAACTATGTTTACAGTTCCTAAGACATGAGGGAAGCCTGACAGTGGGCAGTTGTTGACCTACAAGTCCACCTAATTTATACTAAAGATAAAATTATGGATCTTGATGCAGCATGGATCATCAGGGTTTGTGATTTTACCTTTACAATGCTGCCACTTTTTAGCTCGAGTTTGAAAGATAACTAATGTTTTCTGCAAACCAGCATCAAATATTTACATTTCAGAATCTACCTGAGATCAAAATGTAAGACATGCTGTCTCATACTGACTCATGGTCACACATTGGCTCAGATACAAAGGCCACTAATACTAATGGAAGGAGAATTAAACATGTCAAAAAAAGCTGTGTTAAGCCTGAAAAGTAAGTCTAATCACTCTGTTTACCTTTTCAAGTTAGATCAGAAAAATTCATACAAAGTACCTTTCTTTCGCTACTAGCAACAGCCAAAGACTCCACAATACTCTTGCTGTAGGAGTCAAAGAGATCTAGAAGACTGAGGATGCAGATTCTATAATGCACGTTTCCTCATGTCTCCATAAGAAATTGCCCCTCTCTTTTTAAAAAGATTAATAGACATATGCAATGCATTTCTGTTTCACAGTATTTTTTTAACATATTTGAACTGGTAGCAGCTGACTGTCATCAAAGAGATGGGTAATAGTCATTGAAAGATTTGAAGGCTCCTTCCAATGGCCAGGATTTTTTTTTAATTTTTTTTTTAATGCATAGACTTTTTTATGGATCACATCATTGACCTATTACCATGTCTGTGGAAAGGAGATCAAAGGGAAGAATTTAAATTTCTGAATTTTAATTCCAGCCACTTCTTCAAATTATATAGAGCCATATAGTGAGTGTCCCATAGGATTCTCTCACCCTTAATTACCAGCCTAGAAATAACCTGTCCCACGTATAGCTTCCATTCCTGCCATTACTTGCATCACATAACTGGAAGCACCAGTTCTAGACTCTTCTCGCCATTAGAAAGAAGACAGGTATACAGAGACTCTATTTGCACAATAATCATGCAGTGTTTGTTCACCTCTTCTGATTAGATAATGAACTAAGAAACTCGGACCCAAAGGTGTCAGTTTTGTTGTTAGCAGTTGACTTCTTCAATGAAACAGATTACAACCATATAACTTGAACCTACCCTCAAACCTTCCTAAACCTGCAGAGAATTTTGATGAAATGATAAACTTTGACCCTCTTATTGTTTATCCCAACTAAATGATGAAGACATTTTATTCAGTACATAAAACACAACCATTGCAATTGCCTGCAATATCCCATATTTATCAGTATATAATATATAACTCATGTGTATCAGAATGCGGCAATATATATTAGAAGTATCACTCTTTGTTATAAAGCACACCTTACAATACAGATTCCAATAATAAATACTTATTAAGCTCTAAGTGCAACTAAAACTCTCAGACTGATCTGGTTCATCTGAATGACAAATTCCAGAAATGTGAATCAGCTCAAAATTATATATGAGAATGGCATGTTTTATTTGCGCTGCAAGAAATCCATTAAAAAGTTATCAGCATGCAAGGAAGACACATTTTCTCAGGCAGAGATGCAGATGTTGCCCTCAGAAATGAGGCCACTGAGGTTCATATTCTGAGTCTGTATTCAGAAGCAATAGTATGTGATTTCAGAGGTGGGGTTATCTTGTATACACTCACTACTCAAGTAAATGAGTTACTTTTGGAATTTGTTTTGAAGAAACAAAGAACATAGAAAAATATTGTAACAGAGATCATAGCAACCCTTGTTTTTGCTTGCCTTACAAGCTGTTAAGAGATCCAAGAAACACCTTCTTGAGATTTTTGTATTTACATTTAGAAAAGAACTTTTAGAAAAGCACAAAATCTGTTTATAGAGAAAGTATCTACATGAAAGTCACTGTGTTTTCACAAAAATCGTACTTCTATGTAAAGCAAATTTGCTATAGAGATTATACCCTTTAGAATCTACATACAACTGCCTTGAACAAATGCTACAAATGAAAGAAAATTGATGGACATTACAGCTTAAGCATCCTTCATAATGAATATACTTCATAAAAAATATGATTCCATATACAATGTCAGAGATTCCCTTCCATTAACATTTGTTAAAGTTACTTTCTGATAGTTACAGGAACCCCACTTTGTAACATCTGCAAAAGTTACCTTAACAGTCAGGCATCTGATCTAGAGCTGATCAGGACAACGACTTGACTTCTGTGGGTTTGTGGGTTCACAACATGTTGCCCATGAAAATGCAAGTATCCCTTTATACCTATGCCATTGTTACAGTTATGCATACATCTTCTTCATGTCATTCATTGAAGCAAATTCATATCACAAACTTTAACAAAGCTGAGTAAAGTAGCACATTTTTCCAAAATCTGGCCCCGAATTACTACGTTTTGAAAATCATTCAATTAAAAAAAGAAACAGCACTAATCTTTCATTATGCAGCCTTTTTTATGCATAGCTATGCTGGCAGCATGCACATGGGTCTGCATGATAATTCAATCACCTAAAGATTACATAGCAATTATGTTTAAGAATTATCATATGTAGAACTGCGGTAACGACTTGTGTTCCTTCTACGATGACACTCGGCTATTTAATATCATGATAATTAACATGAGACGCAGAATGGTACTTAGACAGCAAACCATATAATT